CTTTATTGAAAATCTGAACATTGCTACAAATACTCGGTTTCGACGATTTTTCAATTCATCTATCTTTTCAAGTGCTAAAATTTGTCATTATTACAATATTCTTTATCATTCTATCGAACAAAATTTTTATTTATTCAAATAAATATTTAAAAGTAGAAGTGATAGAAAAGAATATGGATTTTCATGCATCAATTGAATTCAATAGTGACACCAACATGTTTTGGCATGATAGTCAATGCTTGAATAGATCCACCGGCATTGACTTCAGGACCACCATCACCAAATGTTACTTGTTGCAGCATACGAGCTAGAATTACTTTGAGTTCGAAGCGAGCCAATTCTTGTCCAAGACATTGACGATGACCTCCTCCAAATGGTAGAAAAACATATGGATGATAATTTTTATCTTCATTAAGAAATCTTTCTGGATAGAATAAGTTAGGATCGATTTTCCAATGACGAGGATCTCGAGCAAGAGCAGATGTCGGAATAATCAAGTGGTCACCTTTGTAGAGTTGAGTACCACTATTGGGTAAACAGTCGTTGCTCATCACTGTACGTCCTGTTCCATCAGTTGTTGGAGAATGACGAAGTACTTCATTGATAAAACAATCCAAATAAATGAGTGAATCAAGACGATCCAATGATATATATTGATCACAGTTATTTTGCATCAACTCTGTTTTGATTTTTTGTTGAACTCTTGGATTTTTACTTAGCTGATAAATAGACCACGAAAGAGCAGTTGATGTCGTTTCATAACCAGCAATCATAAACAAGAGTAGCTCATCAAAAATTTCTTTTCGTGATAAACCTATCAATAGCAAAATGACAGAAGTAAAAGAATGAAACAATTAAGATAAACTTTAGTCATAATTCAATTTTGAACGCATATTCTACAAAGGTAACTGTTTGTCATTGAAACTCTGTTGTGTTAATTATTTTTATCTAACGATCTACTCTGAAAATTTTAGCTCGATCAGCGACTCGAGAGAATAGTTCATATTTTGTACTAATATAATTTGTATTATAGTGTAATAAAGATGTACTCGTTCCGTGTACAAATCTTTTATCATTTATTGGAAACGATGATCTAATCAAAGTGTTTCATAGATAAACTTTACCTTTTTTATCTTCTTCCTTTTTTTTTGCTTCGGCTTTCTCATCTGTTTGTAATGAACTAAGCAATGATGCGATCAATGATGTTTTCTTTTGTTCGGCTATTGAATCTGGACTTTCAGACATTTTTTCTTCAACCATCTTAATAAGATATTTCTGGACAGTTCCCTGTGCTCGTTGATATTGAGGACTCAATTTCAAATAAATAATTGAAATGAATCTAGGTGCATTAATAATCTTTCTAAATATATTTATAATATCTTGTAAAGCTTTAGTCAGCTCATTCTTATTTTTTAAATTATTGTTATCAAGTGTCTCCAAATCATAGTCAAAAGCAATGAGTCCAAAGATTTCAAGTAGAAGATTTTGACACTGTTCGATAATATTTGTATCTATTTGTCCAGATGGTATAGTACGCCATCTATCTAATAGTTTGTCAGTACCATCAATAATTATGTTTATATTCGAAATAACTTTGTTACGACGAAATAGTGGCATTGTAAGTGCACTATGTCGCTTGTATTTGGGACCTACAAATCATCATGAAAAAATTATTGTCATAACTAGAAAAAAAGTCATACCTATGTTACAAATGATACTATCGGGAAAAAAAGGCTAAATTTATCTAAAAATACCTCTCCTTGATCATAAATATTTCGATGAGTAAAAATGTATTGAACATCATCAATATTATTTACGATAACGTAACGAGTAAAACTAATCCAAAATTGATAGATATCACCGAAACGTTCCTTGAATGATATGTAGACGTCAGTCATTGTTTTTTTACCAAACAATAAATCTGTTTGAATCAAATTTCCAAAAAAGAAATGTGGTGACAAACCAGGAACTGGACCACGAAGTGTAAAATATTTGAATTTTATGTATAGCACCCATAAGACGATGAAAAAACAAAATAGGAGAGCAAACATTTTCGAACTGCCTACAAGACGAAATATGTGATGCAAAGATTTAATGGAGAGTGCATTACATGCGTAGATATGTTATGTTGACTTTATTTTTCGTTTTATTCGTTTTTCTTTCGTTCTCATTCGAAAGGTTGAGTCGACACTATTATGCACCAGTCACAAAAGTACATATTACATTTCTTGATAAATACAAATAGGTTCTCGTTTTTGACAAATATTCGGCGGATTCATAACAGCACACAACTCACATCTAGGAGCTACAGATGCATGATAGAAGAGACGTTTCAATAAGATTAGTTGATCTGAACTACAGACAAGATCATTTTATTCGATGGTTGCAGTGTAGATGTCGAGTATATGGATGCCAATATGATGTTTGCATTTCGTATCTGGCACCCAAACTATTTCATCTGTCGAAAAAATATAACCTATAAAAAAACGCCAGCATGTTCAATTATATCTTATGAAGGCATTAGTGTAAAGACGAATGCCTATTAAAGTTGATTTATTTTTCGCATGATAGAAAACTGACAGAATGCATCTGATGATATAACTTTTTGAACTCTATCACTAATGAAACTTTCAAAGCATTCCATCATTGTCGAAATGTGGATGTTGATCTGTATGTGTTGAGAAGGTCTACACCAACACCTACATCTAAAAAATTAAGTTATAATTACAAATGATAAAAAAGAAATTACATTTATCTTTTAACATAAGTTGAGGGTGGATATGGGTGTTAAATAAGAATAAATGACCAAACACCCATACCCTTCTAATAGATTTACCACGTGAGTCAAAATGATGGTGACATTGAGTATTTTGCTCGAATCTCTACATGAAGAAGTCATAAAAGATGCACCGTTGAATTCTTTACAAAGTTAGAAATGAGAATACACTTGACTTCTGAAGATTTGCTCGATGATGTTGTGATTTCTCATTACAATATAATTAAAGATGAAAGCTATCAATTAATTCATTGGCTTACATCTATAAACATAAGACGAAAACTTTTATTATTCTTTTTGAATTGTGACATTGCTCTATCAGACAAATATTTAAAGACTTATAGAACATCATCTAAAACACTCAATAGAATTTTCAGTTCAATTATTTTCTTACAAATTGTTCAATAATCTTTGATTCCAGTAGCTAAGATTTGTAATGGAGAAGGAAGTCGGAAAATTTTGACTTAAAACTTACATTCAGTATTTTCTTCGGAAATCTATGTGAATTCCATGAAAGGTAGTTTTAGACAAGACATATTGGTTTAAACGATAAAATACTTATCTTGCATCTGTTTGTATAATAATTCATAGAAAATAGTTTTAAGAGTTAGAATAAAATGTTGAAAACTAATAGCATGATATTGGAACTCATTGAAATATTGTAAAATGATATTTGCCTTTGATGTTGAATTTATTATATGAGAACTATCTTTAGAAATTTATCTTAAGAATATACTTTTCACTAAATTCTACCATTAAAATTCATGCATTCAAAACAAATCTATTATTAAACAAAAATACAATCAATTTCTATAATCTCAATATATTTAAATAATTTTATGAGAAAATTTTCAAGATTAGAATCAAATCATCTAACATTATCACTTCGTAGAAAATTGTTAAAAAATTTCTTTTGTAATTTAAAACTAATAACTATTTATTGAAGTCTTTTAGATATATTAAATTTTTATATATTAATTTATTTTCAATAATTCTATGGATACAAGAAAAAAAAAAAAAGAGGTATGAAATATTAATGTTAATAAATTTTTTAGTTCATATTTATATTGGTTGAACTTGTTTTAAATAAAGTCGTGATAGAATAGAATTAGAATGTCGTGGTTTTGAATGAGATAATGATGATAGAGTACGTGAAAGATTTTCAGTTGGAAGCATATTTATTGAAGGTGAAACTAATGTTGTTATTGTTGGTTGTATTGGAGTAGATAATGTTGATCTTGAACAAGAACTAGATAAATTACGTAATGATATATATTCACGTTCTAAATATGAGTCTATCGGTGAATTTGATGATTGATTATTATTAGTTTGCAAATATTGTTGTCGATATTGATGTGTATCTTCAGATATAGTAGATTTTGCTTTATGTAATTGTTGATAATCATTATCAACAACGGATTGTTGACAATATTTACAATGTATATCTTTTTCATAACCATAACGAGATCGAAGTATTGATCTAAATTAAAAATTTCATTTCTATATTTGTCAGAGACTAAAAAAAAAAACATTCTAATCTACCGTAAAGGATTCGGACACCATCGACATAAATAAGATAATGCTAGAAAACTTAATAAAAATAATAATGGTAATCCAAGACCAAGACTTAATCCGATAAGTAATGGAATACAATCATATGGTGCAATAGTTGTTACTAAACAAATATAATTAAATAATCAATTAAATAAAATCAAATATAATACTGCTAGATGTCGTAGATGTTGATGTTGTTGTTGTATCTGTTGTTGTTGTTGTTGAAGTTGTTGTTGTTGAAGTGGTTGATGTTGATGATGTTGATGTTGATGATGTTGTTGATGTGGTTGTTGATGTTGTTGTTGTTGTTACAGTTGATGTTGTTGTTGATGTTGTAGTTGATGTTGTTGTTGTTGTTGTAGTTGTTGTTGTTGTTTTAGGGCCAACATAAAGATAAAAACAATATTGATTTGATGAATAATAATTACTATCAATGGCTAAAGCACAAAATGTATATGTTTGACCTAATTGAGCAATTGTTGGTGTCCATGTAAGATTTATAGCATAAGATGTAGATGTTAAAGTAAATGGAAGATTTGATTTTAACATTCCAGGTGGACTTGATGTTACAAAATTTGTTATACTTGTATCTGTATCATTATCACAACCACTTTGTGCAATAACCATTGCTGTATAAAGAACAGTTACTTGAACAGTAATTGTATCACCTGGTAATGGTAAATCTGGTGGAATACTTGTTATAATAGGTATACTTGTACAAGTTGATGTTGGATTTGATGCATCATATGTAAGAAGAAGAAATTGTAATGAAACAGAACTAAGAATGGTTGTTGTATTTTCAATAAAATCTTCTAATTGAATTGCTACTGCATAATAACCAATTGTAGGTAAAGTAACAATAAGTGTACATGTATTATTGCCTGATATTAATTGTGTTGATGTAGGTAATGCTAATGGTTTACAAACATCACTACATTCATCAACAGTAACACCACCTAATATATTTGAAGATTTTGCAAAACGACATTCAATATTATCACCATCAACATCATTCATTGGTATATCAATTGAAGTTGATTGATTAGAACTAACAGGTACATAAACTATTGGTGATATACTCGATGTTGGTGAACTATTAATTAATTCATTATCTTGACGTGGTGTTAAATTTATATATGTCATCATACTCCAACCACCACTACTTAATTGTAATGTAAGCCATGCACCACCAACAACATATCCAATAACAATACCTGTTGATTTAACAGTAAGATTTACTGTTGTTGAACTATAACCAAATGACATTCCTAAAGCTGTATTATAATCAGTACATGGAACATAAGTAGAAATATTAGCTGTATATTGTGCATTTGTACATGTAGTTGGAGATGATTTACATTTAAGAACAGATACAGCAGCTTCACCAATCAATCCAAATGATGAAATTGTTGAACTTGTACATGCACTAGCTGCAGCACTTCTAGACCATGCATATCGTTGATCAATAATGATTGTATTCATTGTATTTAATATAGATTTTTGATTATTTGCTCGTCTCCAACTGATCATTCCTCCACGAAAATGACTATTATCAACAGAATTAATAAAAATACATAGGATGAAAAATACTGAAATGAACATTATTCTATAGGAAAATTTATTTCGATCATAAATATATATATATACACAGAGAAAGATTGAAATTTTTATTATTATTTATATGATTTGAGATAATGAATTTCCATTTGTTTTTTTGTTGTTCAGGTTACAATGAGGAAAAAAGTCTTCATCTAAAATTAATAGATTTTTTTTTCTAGTAAAAGAGAAAAAAAAAACAATATATTCAATTTCATGACAAAAATCACATGATTTTCATCGAACATACTGTTCTATATCAAACATTCTTCAATAAGCAATGATTTCTTTTAATGCTATTCAATGTCTTACTACATAATAAATTCTATTCTCTAATTTCAAAGTTTTCATTAGTAAATATAATACATGATTACTTTTTGTTCTATCCAATTTTCAATTTTATATTAGAAAAAAGATGACTGACAATGAAAAATAAGCAAATATTGTATCAATATGAATATTCTACAACTTCCAAAAAGAAATCTACGTAAAATAAATTAAGAAAACGAACATAGTCACGTTATTGAATATGACAGTTCGACAAAAAAAATATTATATTTATTTTTCTGTATTGATGTTAAAAAAGTACAATTGTAAATTGATTGTTATTTACAAATGCCAATGATCATAATAAATAAAGACTAATTTATAATGCTGAATGATTGTGAAAGTGATATTCTAATAGACTAGTCAAAGAAATCAAATTGATTACAAATTTGCGTATTTTGCTTATATCTTTACACTAAGGAATCATTAAAGTGTGAGTTTTTTTTTGTCTTAAAAGATGCACTGTTGAATTACTACAATAGTGAAAGTGAGAATACTCTTGATTTCTAAAGACTTGCATGATGATAGGATTTCTCATTACAACATATTTAGAGGTTTGATCTACCGCCGGTGATTAATGTATTGGCTTACATCTCTAGACATAATACAAAAAATTTTGTCATGCTCTACATATTCGAACATTGAAGTTTTTTTTTTGTTTTTAGAGAAATAATTCAATGACATTGCTTTGCAGTATGGAGACGTTGCAAAAGCACATGTTAGATACGACGAGCAAGTGAAAACTTGAAATATATATATTGTTTTTTCTTTATTCTGTTTCAATGTCGAGTTCCTCAATATGTGTTGAATTCCGAGAAGTTGAAAACTGTATTTGATCGAACACTCATCAAAGTTTCAACTACTGACTTCAATTATAATTTCATGAAGCATCTGGAAAAAAGCAACTTTGAAATGCTTTTTCCTTTACTCAAGTACCTTTATACAATTATTTATGTTCGACATATATTTCATAATACTCTTTAACAATAGATGGTGAAAACTATCAAGTGAAACCGAAATTCATCAACATTCTTGAGAGAAACACAATCATGACAGATTTTCATATTTTGATTTCTTGAAAAATTTTTCTAAATACTGATTTTTATATTTCATTACATGAAAATTCAATTCTCATTTGAAACTGAAATCATCTTGTAAAAATTTGTCAACTTACGAACAAACATTTCCAACTATTCAATGATCTTTTGTACAACTCATCATAACTAAATAAATTCTGATAGTCTCAAGCGATTGAATAATTCAAAATATTTTCTCATAAGTTTTCAAATAACTTTTTTTTTACTAGATAGTATTAATTCTTTAGTTTTTAATTCGAAATAATAATATTTTATTTAAGTATACAATACAAGTTTATTTGACAAACAAAAATAATTGCTACATTTTATTGATTTTATTTAAATAAAAAATAATATTTTTATGTTATTCAAGTTCTTTTATTTATTTCTATCGAGTATATGTTCGAATATGTCGAATAATATTACGTAATAAATTTTGCATTGATATTCGATTAATTAAATGTTGAAAAAATATTTTATCTAAATAAATTGTTGACATTGTTTCTTGTATATGTGATAATAACATTAAAAGTTCAGCTGAACGACGATAATTCGAATTTTTTCTATATTCAGTTAACATAAATAAAGCATCTTTTCGATATTTATCAATTATAAATCGTTCATTTAATTCATAATTTGTTGCTAAAAAAAAATAAAAAATAAAAATTCAATATGAAATATATATGAACTTACGAATACTAAAAATAATAATTAATTTAAGTAATGTATATTCTGTTTGATCAATTGAATGTAAAATTAAATCTTTAACATTCGATTGAAATAATGAATATTGATTTTCTTCATCAAATGATTCATTTTCATCTAAAAAATAAAAAATAAAACATAAATTTAATAGAAAAAAAAAAAAAATTTACTTTGATCAATAAATTTTTTCATTTCAGCTGATGTTAATAAGAATATAATTGACCAATGTTGTTCAATTAATAAATATTGATCATATTCATTTAAATCTTTAAATGAAGGTACTAAATATAACCATCGAATTGATTCAAGTAAAATAAATGAAGCTGTTTCACATATGATTTCATCATTGGTAACATCTAAAAGTCCATAGATAAAAACCTGAAAAAAAAAAACTTCTTTTTTTTTTAAATCATACCAAGTGATAAATGTGTTTCATCAGTAGTAGAAAAATCTGATATAGTTTGTTGTGTTGAATCCAATGATGAATTAAATTTTTGTTTTTGTTGTGAAAAAATCATTCGAGACCATATTGGAGATGAAGTACTAAATAGAAAGAAAAATAAAATCATTTGATTTGTTTTCTATAATACTGTTTTAAGATTAATTCAGATGCAAAATTTATTTAGATTTATTATATTTAAATCTTTGCTAGAGAACACAGTATTAACGATAGAATAGTCTAATATTACTCATAGATTAGAAGATTGTACAAAAAAAAAATAGATGTGACATTCGTTTTTCAATTTTATATTTTTGCAATAGATAACAACGAATTTATATAGTAGAGTAAGATTTTGAATGTTTATCAAATTTAGAAGTACTGTAAGCATCTTTTTTCATATTGATATCATGATCTTTGTTGACTTCTCAGTAACTTTTTACACTCTTTATATAAGTTCCTTTGACAGAGAATCATCCTTAATAAACTATCCCAGAAATATTTGAGTAAGTATTAAAGCCTATTGAACTCTACCAAGTATACTTGTTTTTTCTGATTGATAGTGCCCAATTAAATTGCTATTAGCAAACGATAGCTACTATTGAGAAAATGTACACGACAAAGGAGATTGTCGACTTTTGATAGGCTATTTTCTCAAGTTAGACTAGCTCGATAGAAAGAAAATTTCGCAATATTTTTTTTTATTTTGTATGTTTCTTTCAAAATGAAAGACTTCTGCATAAAAATTTTTTTTTTCTTCATCGTAGTAACAGATGTAAAATTTTCTCGTTATATTTAGTAGTATGTAGCTTTTCATATGATTGTCTATTTCTACTTAAAAAGAAGCATACTCTGGATAAATTGAGTGATTACTTCTATTTGCTAATAGACTTTTTTTTTCTATGGTATACAAAGAAAAACGATCTGATTTTCGGATCAAAGAACTATACTTACTTTTATTTGAAAAAATAAATAAATAAATAAACTTGACTTACTTATTAATAGTTAAATTTCGAAAACCAAATGGCATTGTCACTTGTGGTGACTCGTTTACATACCCAACAGTTGTTGGTGGTGTCCAACACTGCATTCGAGAAAGTGGAATAGAAGAAGTAGAAGAAGGAGGAGGAGGAAGAGGCAATACTCGTTTAGTTCCATGACGTGGTGCTCGTTCGTTTTGTACAGCTAAAAAATATAAGCACGTTTTTCATTACTATTAAATACACTTCAAAAGCTTCTTCTTCTTCTTTTTTTTCTTCTTAAGTATGATGATGAGTAAATAACTCCACCCTATTCGTCTCATTCATACAGATGTTAATAATTCTCACCACTAGGTTTCATTTTCATTGCTAGACAACGTTGAAATCGACATGCTTGACATTGATTTCGTCGATTAACATCAACTTGACAAGTCGAATCACCTTTACATTTATATTCTATTTTACGTCTTTAAATAAAAAAAAAAAACAAAATTCTAAGAAAAATAAAACACACACACACAAAAAAAAAAAGAAGATTTACCGAACACTTCGTTTAAAAAATCCTCGACAACCATCACAACTCATTACTCCATAATGTTTTCCACTTGCTTTATCACCACATACAGAACATACAGATATATGACGACGATTTATTGATGATGATGATGTAGACATTAATGTATTAATTTTATCTAAATTAACAAAAACATATATTGATCTGTTTTTTTCAAAATCAGCAAGATAAAATGTTTCTAATAAATTGATCTAATTTGAAATGATAACAAAATCTCTATTGTCATTATTCTATTATGTTTTCATCAGGTGACAAATTTTCTATTATATAAATAACACCTACTGATCATTTCTAATTTACTTTAAAGATACCGCATCATTTTTTCGGCTTTGTTTTTTTTTTAGTTCTATGAAATTATATCATCATCATGTTAAATCTCTTGCATGTATATATGTATAACTAAAGTTTATCTTTTTTGAGCAAGCTGACAATCGCGAACACTTCTTTATTTTGATCCAAAAAAAAAAGTCAAGTGAAGATGATCCGTTCATTTAAAATAGAATATTCGGTGTTTTAATACGATCTTTCAACAACAATTATGTCACTTTTCTTGCGGAATGTAATAACAATTATCTACATATATACATGTATCTAACCTAGAGCAGACATGTTTTTATAAATGTTTTTCACAAAATGATACAACACTTATGTTATTTGTGTGATAAGAAATACTTTGTTTTCGTGCGAAATTCTGCACTTATTCTTATTTGTTAACTCATTCTTCATATTAATATCAATTATAAGAGGACATATCATTTTATAAATCGCTTTTTTAACTTATAATAATAGTGAATTAAGAACAGATGAAGAATTTAATTGTATTTTCATTTGAAAAATATTTTATATGATATCTAATAATTAGTGGCGTAACCAAGGTAGGGCCAGGGGGCTCAGCCCTACCACCGGTGTTAGCATCGTCAGCTGAATCCTTTCACAAGCCCTACCACCGGATATTTAAGCGTTGCTGAGCCCTACCATCGCCAAAACTCTGGTTACGCCGCTACTAATAATTTTTCTGGGACGAGAATTAAGGTATTAAAATGAAAATTTTAGTATTCATAGAATAAAATTGTGTTCAATATACTCAGAAATATTCTCTGCAAAATGATTCATTGAGTAAATGCTTTTATCAAATCGATTTTTTTTGTCTTATAAAATACGCAAAAAAAATAGTTAAATATTATATCTAGAAACTTTCGACATACTAGTTTAGATTTAGTTAATATCAAAAACTTTATATTGTTTCATAGTTTTATTTACTTAAATCATAAATATTTCCATGATAAAAAGAAAAAAACTATAGATTATCTATGTGTCAAATATCAGATAAAAGAATAAAACATGACAAAAATGTTGTCTACTTACACATCTTCTTTTTTTTTTCTCTTATAAAAAAATGATCGGCATATATACACCAAAGTGAACAGACGAGAGAAGATTATTGAGCGTTTTGTCAATAAAATGATATGAACGCGTAATTGACTATGTGCTTTATGAACAGCAAATAAAGTATGTGAGCTAAGTGGAGAAGGAGAAAGAGAAAAAAAAAAAAAAGTGCTGATCAAATATGCAATTGAATATAAATATTGTCCATTATATTTAAACCAATGAGAATAAAAAGAATATTTATCAAAATAACAAAAATTTTATCCAATAGGAACAAATAATTAAAAAAAGATATCACAATCCTTGAGTGTGACTTTGGATATAAGTACATCTTAGTGAAAATCTTAAATAGAGTTAACGTTACAATAAACAAAGATTAAGTTATGAAATGTACAATACTTAAATTAGACATTAGTGGAGTAACCAGGGAGTGACCAGGTGTGGCTAAGCCTCACCACCGACTTAGAACTCGACCAGCTGAGCTCCTCCACCGTTAAAATCCTGGTTTCGCCACTACTAGACATAACAAATTCGAACAACATCTATCGTCATTGTATAAGTAATTTTACTCACGAGACAGCATCCTTAAATGTATGTCTTCATTTTCGATTGATTTTATGTCAGTTTATAGAATTCAATGAGTTGATCATGATGGCATAATGCGTTCTTTTTTCATCAACTATCTTCGAAAAAAAAATATATGATTTACATAGTAGTGCAAGATAGTTTCTGTGTTATATCTTAACTTTTATGATTTAATCATTTGTGTTATTCACATAAATACAATTGATTTATTATATGAAAGAGAATCTATTGTCATTGATTTTTGTTTTTCTTTATACAAATAAAAACAATCAATTAACATTGTTTTGAAAACCTTTTTTTTTTGAGATTATATTAACAGCATTATTTTTCTTTTTTTACAATGTTGAAAAATTATCAAAGTCATTTTTGAACTTGTATATTCTACATAGGTGAATATACAATTGAAATTAGATAAATTTCATTTGCTCATATGATTAATTGAAATATTTAAAGTATAGACGTTGTTAGGACGAAGATAATGAAAATAACTATAATTGAATTAGTTGGTAGAAATAAAAAAAAATCTATTGTATATTCTACTTGTTAAATAATTACTTGAAATATACAATATAACAGCATTTGACGATGAAAGAATTTCAAATGATTATTATGCAAAAACTAATTTTGTTCAATTTGAATTTATTATTGAGACAAAATAATGAAAATATTCAATTTAAAAAAAGAATTTTATTTATTTGCCTTTTTAATGTTAATATTTAGAGTTTACATAGTGATACTCTACATACTGAAATGTAAAAAAATTAGATGAAAATATATTGAAATTTAATGAGAAGAATTTATTTTTATCAATTAAAACAAACCAGAAAACAAAGTCAAATTCTTACATCATTGCTAATTTATCATCAATTTCAATGTCATATGAATTAAACTTCGATGCATTACATCTGTTGAATATACGTAAATGATTAAACGGTATTGGATTAGATTCAATTTACATAGATATTGTTTTATATACTATGTATTTATCAAGTAATTTTTTGTTTGTTTCCTTTTGCTAATGATTTTATTGATGAAATCTTATTTTGAAATGATTGATAAATATTCGATTTAATCATTTAAATATGAGATAATCAAGTGTGTAAGTTTACTCTTGTTCTTCTAAGATTATGTAATTATTAAATATAAACTGTAAAGTAGATATATTTAAAAACGAAAGACAAAATAATGCTTATCGATTAGTAAGATCATTTATGTTGTTCATATTTTTAAATGTTATATTCAACAGAAACAATTTTTCTTGTAAAAAAAAAAAAGTAGAATTTGAAATTCTTCATAAAATAAAACTATGATGTTTATTCAACGAAATATAAATTACTGTCATTGGTTTTTATATCGAACATAATAGTTCGCTGAAATATAATGTATGTTTGTTGATATTCTTATATCCAAATCTTTTCTATGCTTGGAAGAGTATGACAAATTGTTTGAGTCTATATTTTTGATCATTCTAATTTACAAATTATTTGCTCACTAAGAAATCGATCTATTTAAATTACCATAAATTTTCATTGGTACTATGATTATCTTCATATTGAGTTTTTACAACTATCTATATACCTATGCTTTTCATTATCTTCTTTTTTGGAATCGAATCATATGTAGTTTTGTAGAAATTTTCAAGGTCAATGTTTTAAATAATATGAAGAATAGAGAATAGATTTGAAAATAGTATTAACATATTTCTTTATTGATTATTCTTTAATTTCGAAATTTTGATTTGTTACTATTTATATTTGCATTTAATTCAATGTTTCTAATTACAATCAAAAATTAATATCATCGACACTAAATAATATACTGTTTTTTAATTAAAAGTATTCGATTGTTTTGATGTCTCAATATCATTCGACTAGATTTTTTCAAAAAGAAAAATATCGAAGCATATAAAAATGAGTATGTACTGTTACAGTAACTCGATATCAAACGTGTATCAATTTTTTTCGAGGCCGAGTATAACATATTATGGGTTTCAAAATGAAAATTATTTTAATTTTTTCTACTATCTTTTGCTTTTCAATATCTTTTCAGGTATACATAAGTTTTATTTTTACTTGGTGTGCAGGATTCAATATACGCCAGCCACTGAAGCATATCAATTTATTCACATGAATCATGGTATGCATATCTTGTGTAGACTCGTTCGCGATAGTGTATGTAATTGAAACAAAAATCAAAAAGAAAAAGAAGGAAACTACGCAAACATAACGAACCGTAAGAAATGAATAAAGTTGCCTTAGTGCAAAAGGTAAAAAATAACGAATCAATCAACAAAACAAGCAACCAGTATAACATACGCAGGCAATATCAAGTCTAATCAACAAGTTCATAACGAAATATTTTCGCCATATATTGGATTTTATTCGTTTAATTGTGGTGAGTAATTGATTAGAATAATATTAAAAGTAGAAACAAATTAGAGACGATTGAGAAAGATATAAAATCGATTCCAATGATCGAATTTTTTTTTTTGAAGGATCGATTGATAAATGTTAGTTACTCAATTTTCAATAAATGTGAACAAATAGAAAAAGAAATTTTGTATTTTCATAAGCTCTAATATTTGTAATGTCTAAGCAAGAAACAGCTAGTCTATATTAATTTCTATTTTAAGATCGATGTATGAGTTGAAACATATACAAGGGCTGAAGTTTTATAAGTAATGACTGCTCATCATAAAAATACGTTCATTCAAACTAAAGTACGAGTGTTTCTTCAAAAATTTTCAAATCATGAACTAAGCTGAAGTGAATCTATTCTTATTAGATAGTTGTTCTATTGCCGATTTATAACAGTTCAAGTTTGTTTTTTCAACATTAATTGATTTTGGGTTCTGTCAAACTACATTGCATAACTTCTCTCATGTTTTAAGCTCTGTACTATTATAGTAATTATCAATCATATATTTATAGTTTAGACAAATATTATTTTGTAAATCTTCAAAACGAGTTTATCAACTATTTTGACATCTCTACGCGAAAAGTAGTTATTGAGTAGTTAAGAATTTTCTGTAAGTAGTTTGAAAACAAATCTTTAAGGAACAAAATATAAATGTCTTTATGCTGAAAGCATTTGTACTCACCATCTCAGTGTCATGATTAGACTATTAAAAACAAAACAAAAAAAGGAAATGATTCATTTTCCTATTAGTGCATAGAAAGAGAAAGTAGTTATCACAGAATTTTTAAAATAATATTCTATAGCAAAACAACAAGCCACAAATATTTGTATCAATTACGTCGGATTCGTAACAATCGTAATTTCATTAACGTCAAACTAGATATAAAACATGTACATAATGAATCGTTTTGGTGATATTGATGTTTCATTTAAAAAACTTCCACCTGTTTATGGTTATCGCAGTGAAACGCTTGTTCCCATTGAAACAGCACTAGAACCTATCGAGTCTCAAATTAATGAATTACCTTATTACATAAAGATAGCCAAAAGATACTGTCGTTTTCCATCAGAACATGGACTAACACATGATCAATCAGCTGCTATTTATATCTATACAATGGAATGGGGTGATACTAATTTGTATCGTGTATTAAATAAAGCACTACGATCTGAAAATCGACAAGCACTAAAGATATGGTTTCCATATTTAAAATTATTTGATACAGCATTGGATAAGTTACCTACTGTTAAAGAGGTGGTTTGGAGAGGTGTACCTCTTGATATTGGAAAGAACTTCACTAAAAATCAAATTATAACGTGGTGGAGTATTAATTCATGTTCGTCATCCGTCAATGTTATTAAAAATTTTCTTAGTAATGACAAAAATTCAACACTTTTTCTGATTGAAGCTGTTAATGGAAAAAAAATTTCTGGATATACAGAATATGAAAATGAAGATGAAATTATCTTACGAATGGGTTCACAATTTCGTGTGAAGAGCAATCCTTTAGATTATTTGCATGGCTCACATGTCGTACATTTAATTGAAATTGATGACAACAATGATCAAACATTAGCATCGACTATCAATGAAATGCATACGACTGCAAAACCATCATATATAAATACATTGAGTAAGCTATTTATACTTTTTCTCTATGAGATAACGTTTTGTACGATATGTATACGTAAAATAACCAAAAAGTTTCTAGATACTGATTAGTGTATATATAATAAAGAATAAAATTAAATAATTTGATGAAAATATTTATCGATGCAACATCTATGCTATCATCTAGGAGAACATTCTGATAACGATCATTCGACTAATATGAAAGAACTTTCTCTTATTTTTGAATGACACTTTTTCTAATTAATTAAATTTCATTCACCAAAAAAGATTCAATAGAATATAGCCGTTTTGACATCCTCAAGTGATTTGATCTAGCTTGTGGACCCTATCAGAAACAGTTGAATCGGACATTGCATTACCTAAAAAAAACCGTGTCTCTCGTCAAAATATTTATTGATTCAGACCTGAGTTCTGTCGAGAGAGATCGTCTTGGATGATTTCAAGTCTATTCTTATCATGTCGGATTTAAAGAATTCTCTTGATCGTCACTTTCGGCTTTTCATCTATGCTCTTATTCTAACCCTTCGATTCTTGAGCTCTTTGATTTTCAGTACTTTCTTGAACTGCCTGAGTTCCGTAAGTTCTTTAACTGTGAAAAATAATTCGTATTGTAACAAATTCAGAAAATAGAACTTCTGCAATGATCTCGCAAAAATCTGTTGAGAATTTTTTTCAAGTTGAAAATCAATACCCGTAACGTTGCAACACTCTTACAGTTTTTCAGCTAATAAAATCGCTGGAAACTCCGAAAGATTTTTGACTGTCGAAAAAGAGACACTCTTTTTGCGAACTCTCACAAGTTTTCTGAAATTTTATTTAACTATAATGTGTAAAAGACTTCTGAGATCTTTTCGGAGGATATGGATGTTGGTAAAGATATAGAAGTGTTGGTCTTCTGTTGATTTTCACATTCACACTCTACTGTTTATGATCTTGAAAGTCTTTGTATGTGCTTAAATAAGTCACTCCAAACATAAATTGTCATCGATTCTGTCCGAGTTTCTCAAGGAACAAACAGAATTTAAATTAGAGGAAGTGACATCGATATAGTTATCGTTGCGAAGTCCTTTTCTTATAGAAAACTAAGAAAAGTTTCTAAGTTTTTTCTGCACAAAGAACATTCTCGAAAGTTTTACCGAGGTCTCTCGCGAGACAGACAGGTCTCTGCAACAACGACGTTAACGCTTCTTTTTCTTTTTCTCGTTCATTACAGTGATTCCGAATATTCCAGTTGACACTCGATGGGTGCAGAATGGGGTGACTATTGCTGGAGGCCTTGGAGCAGGCGAAGCCACCAATCAACTCCGGGACCCACATGGTCTCTTCATTGATGATAACCAAACGATAGTTATTGCTGATTCCTGGAATCATCGTGTCGTCCAATGGAAGATAGGCGATGCCAATGGACAAGTAGTAGCTGGTGGCCATGGCCAAGGAAATCGACTAGATCAATTGAATTGTCCAACTGATGTGTTGATCGACAGAAATACTAATAGTCTCATTATTTGTGATTGGGGGAATAGACGAGTCGTACGATGGTCTCATCATAGTGGTACCACCCAAGGAGAAATTCTCCTTGACAATATTATGTGCGCAGCATTGACTATGGATGATCAGAAATATCTCTATATCTCTGATACTGATAAACATGAAGTACGACGATATCAAATAGGAGACAAGAATGGAACTGTCGTGGCTGGTGGTCATGGCCAGGGTGCTGCTCTCAATCAAACCAATTTTCCTACTTACCTATTTGTTGATCAACAACAGGCTGTCTACGTGTCAGACAACAACAATCATCGTGTGATGAAATGGAATAAAGGTGCAGAAGAAGGGATTGTCCTCGCTGGAGGTCAAGGTGACGGTAACGCTCTGAGACAACTATGTAGCCCTCATGGACTGTTCGTCGATACATTGGGAACTATTTATGTGGCAGATACAGGAAACCATCGAGTGATACGCTGGTCTAAAGGAGCGACAGAGGGTCAGATTATTGTGGGTGGAAATGGTTATGGATCAGGAGCAAATCAGTTGGCTAATCCGAAGGGCTTTTTCTGCGATCGACATGGTAATCTCTATGTCGTTGATTGTGGAAATAATCGTGTCCAACGATTTTCTATTAAATAAAATCACAACGATGATTAATTTTGTCTTTCTTTTCTTTCAAAAAGTTATTTGATTGGTTAAATGAATCGTTATTCTAAAGTGAATATGAATGTCTACGTACTTTAGAATATCCTCTTTACTAACTCTATATCTACTCCTATTATTACATATTTGTAATGATCGAGCTCACTGGGAAAAAACGACGCATTTCACTGTTACTTGAATACCATAATAAGATATAGTTGTGATGACAAAGCAACATATTATTGTTTCTGTAATTCCATTTTGTTGGACAAACATATTTTCATTAGATACATCACAACTAGCTACTGGTTTGCATGTTCGAAATTGTCAAAACCGTTCAGGGTGGAGTGTGTAGATGTGGTTCTTCTCTGAAGCAACACTCACATCCATTTATCACCATCATGCTTATCGTGTTTGTGTATACATATGAAGAACAGAAATAAAAAATGAATGTCTAATCTATATTTATACAAAACTGCATTATTTATAATTCTTAATTTTGATTTTCATTCAAGTTCTATAACTTATTGACATACACAACATCTTTCGCTTCATCTATTAGTTCAGCGATTTTTGCCATTGGATTCCGTCTGTAGATTGCATAGTCAAAAAGTAATAGGGAGAAACCTGTGACAAAGTTTTGCTCACAGCAAAGATTGAAAAGATTAGAGATCGCTCAAAGACAAGATGTGAAATATATAACTCATTGTATCAACCTGACTTTTTGGGACTCGATGGTTTATTCAGAATCTAATCAGCAATCCAAACTGCTGCTGTTGATAGTGTTAAATAAAAAAACCATTGAATATAAGTCTAGAGACAAAAACTCCGTGTGCAACAAGGGAAAATTTCCGTGATTGAGTAAGACGGAAAGATGTTCTTAAAAAAAAAGGAAAGGAAACATGAGTTTGGGCAAAATCGGTTTCTATGTTTTCAACAGTGAAGTATAGAAGAAAGCATCTTTTCTGCAACAAATGTTTTGTTTCATCGAGCTCAAAATTGTGTCTTTGATTCTATGACTTGTTATTCTTTGACAATGGATCAAGCTGGGTGTGTGAAAGTAGTTCTTTTCTCAGCCCAAACCCGCATAACGTGACTATCGGTGTTCGATGCTTTCTTGTATAATTTCACTGACCAAACATACACAAGGTTAGTGACTATATATTACCAAAATATCTGCCAGAGTCATTAAGAGTAGAAAGAATTCGAAACAAAATTCGTTTATTATGATCTTTATATAGCTATGTAGTCCATGACCGGCTCTTTATTGTTATATAAGAATTATATTGAGTAAAGGTTTTTGCTTAGTGTCATTAATTTCTGAACGTCTATGTACTGGTGTCACTCATTCGTAGAGTTAGGAACAGAAGATAATTCTGTCACGAATTTTACTTTTTTTGTTATCCAAAAACTGCGAGCAACGATATTTTAAAAAAGCATGAGTCGATGCACCTTGACAAGACAAATGGAACGATGTATTCTTCTCGATGAACAGAGTATGTTTTCCTCGAGTAAATCATTCTCTTTTAAAAGTCTTCAGTTAAATATACTTGAATCGCAGAAAAAGGAGACTGATATGGCAGGAAAGAATGAGAAGCAAGTTCTAGAAGAAAAAGAAATTGCGTAGCTCATCTACTTTTGATTATTATTAGCCAATAGGTAATTAGTTTTTTTAATCAATATATGTCACAGTTGACACAGGAATTTCAGTTGAGATTGAAGTGCATCATTTAATTAAAAAGAAACTAATAGGATTCTATTTCTTAATTATATAAATTTAGTTAGGTTTGGTAGGCGTAAAAAAATTTTAAAAAAATTTATAATAGGAATAAAGTTTTACAAGTTAGATAAAGTGATTGATTTAGATAAGAATTCGCAAAATTAACGTATATCTAACTCCCTAAATAAAAAAAAACCTATAATCATTGCTCGAGACTTTTTTTATTGTCGTATCGAAAAGTCCAGCTGAACATTCACCAGAATACTTAAACATCATATGCCATCGATTATAGTGTTTAAACAACGATTTCAGCTTTCAATATCATTAATGCTTACTGCAGTTTATTACACTTTAATATCATAATTATACAACAGATACCTTATACACTACACATTTGCGTCTAATAATCGCCCGCCTCACACTCCTGCTCGTCTAAAAAATATGATAAATTTTTATTTGAAATTTCATTAATTATTCAATGTTGCTATGATCCCATTATTAGAACAATTATGATGAAAATTTACACTCATTCTAAAGAAAAAAAAACAAATACACACTATAATAACCATGTTTCTAATTTTATATTGGAACGATGTTTCTAATGAGAAATTTTAAAAAACGCTTTTTCAATCTCAACTTAGTTTCCAACACGCTTGCAGTATATATGAAACGAATGTTTCAAATTAGTATATGTACATGATGTAATCTTTGTCACTCCCAACACAACACAGGATTTGATACTTGACGCACAAAAAAGATTGATAATCGACTTTTGATATTAATATTAAAAAGAAACTCATGTACGTCTGTATAACCAGGACATTGATCCGACAAAGACTTATCTGCCTACAGCCGCTCTTTGACAGCGAATAGTCACATATATATATGAAATACTCTCTGTTATTTTCATATTTATAACGCATCTACAAGCATAGATGAATAGCAATAACAGTAACAACAACGACAACTTTCCTCCTGTTAGTGGAGGTGGAATAGGTCCTCCAGATGGTGGCGGTGGAATGGATCCTCCAGATGGTGGCGGTGGAATGGGCCCTCCGCTGGACTTTGGTCCAATTCCAATTTCATCAATCCAAAGAAACTTGGTTTTCTACGGTTACATTCTTCTTTTCCTCTTTGGGTTTTTCGGTCACGGAACAAGTGCTACCATCTTTCTTCGTCGAACCCTTCGTACCGTTTCGACGAGTTGTCTATTCGTATGTATGGCTGGGTCCGATACAATCTATTTGTTAATGTGTATCTATGATTTTATCTTTCTTGGCCTTGGTGGTCCCACAACAAATATCAATTTGATGAATGCATTGTGTCGTTTTCGTTCATTTGTTCAATATTTTTCTATGTGTTGTTCAGCTTGGCTTCTATTAACCATTACAATCGATCGTTGGCTTCGTGTTCAATTTCCTTTTAGAGTCAAAGAATTGTGTACGACAAGAAGAGTGCTTATTGGTGCATTCATTATCCTCATATGTTCAATCGTACTCAATTCCCATTTATTGCTACCATCACTGGGCGTTGTACCTGGTGGTATCGCATGTGCTCCTAATCCAATGTCAAATTCCACCTACCTTTACTTTTATAGTACAGTATGTTTCTTTATTTGACATTTCCGTAATTAACAACACATTTATCAATTATTTTCAGATCTGGCCTTTTCTAATAACCAGTCTTCAAATACTCTTACCAACAACATTTCTTCTCATCTTTAGTATTAAAATATTCATTGAGCTTCGTCGTCAACAAAAACAGAAACGACAATTGACACAAAGTCGTCGTCGTACTTTTCTCGATAGACAAATGTTAATAATTATGCTCACTAGTATCTTTCTCTTCTTTGTCACACAAATCCCATTAAGTCTCTTCTCTATTCTTATCTTTTCTGTTCTTCGATTTTTACTTTCAATACAACAGCTACTTCAGCTTAATACAATTGTCACATTCGTTGCTTCTATCAATTATGCTGTAAGTTGAATATTAATTTTCGAATCTCTTTTCTCATCTTATACTTTGTTAGGCTTCATTCTATATTCACTGTTTATCAAGTCGACTATTTCGGGAAGAATTTTTGAATTTAATGCATTGTAGACGACATCAACGTGTAGGTGTTATAACACAAACGTTGGGCCTTCAAGGATCTCAAACACAAGCTCAACTATACCATTTGGAAGAAGGAAAATTCACGAAAGCATAAACATTATATTGCCTATGGAATTCTTTTTTAGTGATTCAATAAAATTTTAGAATTATTGTCAATTTTTTTTATTAAGTTCAAAATTGATTAATACTTATCCATTGTCCTAGCTCATCATTGAGTAGTACTTCACTTGACTTGACATTGAATCAATCAGTGTTAAGCATGTTCTTTTTGTCTATATGTGCAGGTTGCGAGATGTACGAGCCTGCTTGGCTTCCAGATGGTGTGAATGCATGAGGCAAAATAAAAGGAAGAGAGCAAGAGAAAAACGGTCCATAGTTCGAACCGTGATCAATCACCAGTATTGTCAGTTTGATCATATCTTTGATGCCGAGAAACTCAAACAACATGGCATATCAAATGTCCACCAATGAGCAGTCGATTGGTTGAGGAATCTCAGGGAAAAGTTGCAATGTGTGTTTTGTAAGACAAGGACTCGCTTGGAGGTCAGAGCATGACAACGAAGGTCAATTTTATGATTACACATTACTGAAATAGCCTTGTATCTAATTTTCAGGTAACTGTGCGTAACTTCTCATCCTTCTTCGCCTTCGGAATCCGGCATTTGAGTGCTGATCCGATCAGTCGATCGTGCGTCTGTATTTATGATAGACTCTATTCCTGGTTTTAGTCCGCGTTAGATCTATTCAGTTGTCATTTGATTTCTTCTTAAAACTAATATCCAGTAGTGACTTCTTTGCATGAACAAGTTGCTTTCCAAGATCAGAAAGGATATTTGTGACTTTTTCTTATCAGCTATTACAAGACGTACCATTCCTACTGGCAAAGTTTTCAGTCAATCATATGATAATGCGGTTTTGACAATGGCACGATGATCGACAAACTCTAGTTCCTTGGATGCAGCTTATTTTTCACAATCAGACACTATCAGCGCATAGAACAGAATCATTGATAATATGATGAGTGTTTTGTTTACCGATCACAACATGATTCATCGAATTGCTTCTCGTGAAAGACTGAGCGAGAAGCGAGTGACATCAAAGAAGATAAACTTTCATACAACAAGAAATAATTAAAAGACAGAACGACAGTTTGCCAAAAAATTCA